TGGGCGCCATTGACCTTTTGCCCCGCTTGAAGATGGTCGGTTCGCTGTCGAGCTGGGTCAGGCCGCACGGCCCAGAGAGGTGCGCCGAATTGTTGGTCTGTGTGGTATGTCCACTCTGTTTCAGTCCTGGGAGGACGGCCACTAGCGGGCCGACGCGGGCACGTCACGCCGTGACAAGTTGTGCTAAGCAGCGAACACGCGTGCATCACCGTCGCGGAAGCCGAGCGCCTTGCGACGGTGGGAGAGGGCGCGGTAAGCTAGGCGCGCGGCCCTGCTGCGCAGACCAAGGAGGAGGTGGCGGCGGCCGTTGGGGCGTACACGGGTGCAATCGCGCTCGGCTCGGTCGGCTTGGCCGTGGTGGACGAGGGGCACCACGTTTTTGGCCGCCAGCCCGACGCGCGGCTGGTCGGGCTGCCGGGGCAGCGCCGCTTCGAGCACCCGGCTCGCATGCGGGAGGTGCTCGAGGCGATGCTGTGCGCGAGCCACAAGCTGCTCATCTTTCACGACCACTCGTACCAGCGCGACGGCGCTCGCCCGCTCTACCCAGTGGGCATCGACTACGAGCAGATGCAGCGGGACAAAAAGTTCCTCACGACGGTGGTGCGGCTGCCGGCGGCGGCGCGGGACGTTGCGATGCCCTTCTGCCGCGAGCGCGTCGCCGTCGCGTCGAGTGACGGCCGAGTTGACTTCTACCCGCTGCTGGACGAGCGGACGCACGGCGAGTCCGTGCATGTCGACGTGCCGTACCGTGGGGTGCTGTTAGACCCGCATCGCAGCGATTACCTGTCGACCGTCGAGGAGCAGGGCTCGCTGGCGCAGGAGAGCGCGGCGCACGAGGCAGCCTACGCCGAGGCGCTCGCAGCGCAGCTGGAGTCGCTATCCGCAGAGATCGGGACGGGCGGCTGGGGGAAGGTGGCGGTGCTTGTCCCCAGCACCGTCCCCTCGCCTGCATGGCTTTCGGGTCAAGCTCAAGGCCAGAGTGAAGGTCAGAGTGAAGAGTGAAGTATGGGGTCAGGGCCAGAGGGCTAGGGGCGAGGGAAGTCTAGGTGCGCCTGGTGCCGCACGCCCGTGCGCGCCGCGGCGAGGGTGTACGCCCACATCTCGAGCACCCACCCGAGCGCCTGGTCCGCCTCGCGGTCCCGCTTGAGCTCGAGGCAGAGCCTGCGCAGGAAGGTTCCGAGAAGGCTCCGGGCGGCGCCTTCACCACGGCTCGCTCAGCCGCCGCTCTCGGCCCCTCTCTGCGACCTCTCGGCTACCGCTCGCCTCCACCACGGTTCGATCAGGCCTCGCAGCTGCGCCTGGGGCAGACGCCGCGGGCTGTGTCGCGGACGTGTCGCGGACGTGTCGCCTGCAACGGGCGCGCCGGGGCTAGCGCACCTTGTGCACAATCAGCGGGGACGGGCCGACGGGGTCGACGTCGTCCGGGTCGTGCCACCGCCGGATCACCGGCCCGAGCTTGCGCGCGTCGTACTTGTACGTCATGTAGTAGAAGCCGAACGCCACCGGCGACGCCTCGGTCGCGCGGTTGCGGGGCGGCCGCAGCAGCAGGTGGTCTGTCTCGATCACGAAGAGGTAGTCCTCGGCGAGGGAGGCCGCCTCCTTGGAGGCGAAGTACTGCCGGAGCGACCACGGCCGGTTCATCACCTACACGGGCACGGCTCCGAGAAGCTTCTCGGAAGGGTCCGAGGGTCCGAGTTCAGCTCCTCCACCGCCGCTCGTCACCACAAAGCCGTGCGAGCACTCGTCGCACCGCCCCGCGCCCAGCTGCTTGGTCAGCACCGTCGGGATCTCGCCCATCAGCCCGTCCGGCCGCCCGTCCGGCGTGGACAGCAGCCGCGTGAAGCCGCCTGCAGGAAGGTTCCGAGACGCTTCCGGGAAGGCTCCGCCTGGCAGCGGACGTGGCCGCGCGACGCCGCCGAGGTCGCTGCACGGCTGCGCCGCCTTGAGCTGGCGGTAGTAGTGGTATGCGATCCGCGTCTGCCACTCCTGGTACGTGCCCGACGCGGCGGTCAGCAGCACGTGGTACGGCCGCCGCTCGGCGCCGCAAGCCGGAGGCGGCGGCGACGCGGCGGCGGCGGCCGCCGCGGGCTGACTCCTCCCTGTGGCTGCGGAGGAGTTTGACGCTGGAGCTTGGGCGGCCGCCGCTGAGCCTGGCGAAGCGGCCGACTGCCTCGCACCCAAGGCAGCGTCCGAGCCAGGAGTCTGCGAGGCGGCGGTGGATTCGGCGGCGCTGGCAGTGGCGGCGGCGGCGGCCCGCTGCCCACGTCGGTCGCGCTGGTTCGCCGGCCGGCGTGCGGCCGACTGCTCGAGCGGGTGCGCCAGAGTGATGGCGAGCTCGTGGAGGTGTGAGACGGCTGCGACGAGCAGCAGCACGCCGAGAGCGATCAGGGCTCTCGATGCGAGCTTCTTTGACACAGGCGGTCGAGACTCCAGCGAGCTGGCCTTCTGTGGCGCGGGCGC